GTGCCCGCCCTCACAGTCGGGCATATTTGCGGAATACACCACGCCGCCGTTGACCCTGGCCATTGACCGAGCAACCCAACGTTCCTACCAGCTCCCTCCGCAGGAATGTGTAACGTTGACGATGCAAGCATCGAATTGTGTTGCAATTATTTATTTTCAATTTGCATACGTTGTATGTAAGTGTTCAGGTGACAACTTTAGAGATCGTTCGGGGGTTCAATAATTCGACCCTGAGGAGGGATCCATGTCTTTGACGGTACTCCGATATCCATCAGCGGCTCCCAGCCACGGTGCATAGTGTCTGCAGTGAAACAGCGTTACTGCCCCCTACAGATATTTTTGGTCAAATACCTGCCAGTTGTACCGCATTCATTGTGATGCGCCAGATAATCACTCGTTCGAAATGGTGATTCCCCACGTCTCTGTATAATCCACGAACCCCACCTCACACTAGCCGTTAGTATGAAAAATAAGAATATGTTTTACCCTATCTGGCAATAAAACAGGTGTTCTCTGGTCTGACACTGGTGAGAAAATGCCATAAAGTAGACCGTATGTGGTGTAGGGCAATCAGTTTCAAACACAATGCATATATTATCAGAGCATGTTTGTTTGCATGTTTGCCACAAGTACGTGTGGTTAATGCGGACCCGATTCCTTGCAAAATTGATCTATTTGGTGTTTAAACATCTTAACACCGGTTTCATTGCCGGAAAGGGTAATCCCGATTCTTATTTTTCATAGTAGCAGCGGGGTTGTTTAAATAATACATTTACTTCACCACCACACATCAAAGTCCTTCAACCAGATTAAATAAAGGGTAATACATGTTTGTGCTCACACACACTCACGCCCTCCGCTGAAGTTCTTTAATCAAGGAATCATGAATTTGGTTAAAGGACCACGGATCAAGAGCTAGTGCATTCTTACTCTTTGGTTCTTTCGGTATGGATTCCTGCAGTCACGAAAGCTTCAAATCAAGATTGACTCATGAATCCTGTTTGGCACTCGCCAGATAATGTAAAGGCCATTCATCTATAAGATGTGATTGCACTGGTGGCTCACTTGGTTACAGGACAGTGTTCAAAGGGTAATGCATCTCAATGGACCGTTGCCTCGTGAAGGAACCTCAATTGACACATTGAGCCTCTGGCGCGCACTGGGCTGAAGGACGCTGAGAGCTTGAAGTCACATTTGACTTCCGAAACTATCAGAAGTATTTTCATAATTTGATGAATCCGATAAACGCATTGCATAATTTATTTTGTGTTATAATCATTGATATTTATATTATGCATACAGCGCATATTTATATGCATACATTCCATTATATATTCATTTTCAGGCATAATTTAAAAACAAAGAAAATAATAACTCTAGTTTACAATCAATTATTAATTCATTGTCTAGTACTTCTATTTAATAAGTGCTGCTTTTTGTCAGTTTAGTCAAAACCATGCATTGAATGTCACCTCTCGTCCCCCCCCCCGCCCCCCGCTTGAATCCCAGAGCCCACTGCTGCAGTGTTGGCCATCATGAGCCACATTCTCCAACCCAGGGGCGACTTCACAGACACCAATTCCCACACTTCAGCCCAAGACACCTCACACGTGGCACAGCGCCAGGCTGCTACCTTGCCCTGCACCACCAACTCCTGCTCACCGTACTCTGTCTACGTTTGGCCAGCCCTACCTCTACCTTCGTGCGATCCTCGCCGTTGCCCTGACCCTGGCCCTTTGCATTAGCCTAACCCTGCACCAATCCATAATTTTAACTCTCATACCTCCTCAATCCCCGAACTCTGCCTCATCGCTGTCCCTTGTCTCTGATCCTAGCCTGACCGCTGATCTTAGCCCTCTAGCCGTGGCATTGACCTTGCCAAAGGGTATTGCGTGACTGTTTGACAAGCGGGGGGGCTACATGAAGTCTCAACGGGGGGAAAGGGGGCATGAGAGGCAGGGGAATGGAATCCAGGGGATGGGGATTGATGGCGACGCCTCACAAGGTACGTACTGTATGGGTATTGCGTGACTGTTTGACAAGCGGGGGGGCTACATGAAGTCTCAACGGGGGGAAAGGGGGCATGAGAGGCAGGGGAATGGAATCCAGGGGATGGGGATTGATGGCGACGCCTCACAAGGTACGTACTGTATGGAAACGTCAGCGTCTTGCGTCTAGAGGCGCCGTAGCTCACGGGGTAGGACAAGAGGCCGCTTGGTTAATCCTCGCTTGAGAAACGCCCTTTTGTGACGTTAATAATTTATAACGCATTTGCGATATGCTGTATGCGTTATTTGGTTGGTAAAAAGTTACATTTAAGAACAAACACTTTTTTACGATTAAATCAGGTCCATTTGCTTCTAATACCATGTCCACAGGGGATTTTAGAGTTGAAACGATGAAATCCACCGTTCGTCCCCTGACTCTGACCCCATTGCGATGTTGCCTGTGGCCTTGTCCCTTCCCCCAGCCGTGCCTCCTCTCCATTCCTATTGTTGACTCCTTCTCCTGTCCCTAGCCCTGCCCTTGAGGCCGGCCCCTGCCCTGAGCTGTGTTCCTCCCTCCCCATGAGCAGCCAGCTCCCTGTGCGAGCCTCTCAACCTCATCCCTCTCCTCTCGCCTCAGCACTTCCCTTGCCCTCACCCACGTTCTTCTTCCGTGAGCGTGCCCTCAAGTCACGTTGCACCTCCCCCCCTCCTAGCCCTGCCCTTAGCCATGCCCTGCGTGTATGGGGGCAGCACGTTGTCGCGGTAGCTCATGGCGTAGGGCAGGTTTCCCGCGGGGCTGTAGAATGCGACGGCCACGAACATGCCTCGCCCGTCGCACGCAAGCCCCACGCCCAGATCGAGGGAGCTGCGCCACACCAGCTGGGAGAAGTTGCCTGGGGTCACGGGTCAAGGGGTCACAGAGCAAAGGGGTCACAAGGATACTCGCTCTAAGGTCACAGACCATAGTTTGCTTGTGTTAAGGGTGAAGGTCATGGAATTTGAGTCACAGGTCACAGAAGGGGTCGCGAATGGCAGAACATGGATCGTAGTTGCGACATCACGCATGAGGATCACGAGTCAGAAGTTAAGCAACAGCTGATTACTTGAATGCAAATCTTTAGTTTAGGAGTTGAGTTAAGGAAATACACCTTTCCAGCCAAAGCATGAAATTAACATTTGGGGGCATTATAAAAAAAAATAAAGAAAACAACCATAGTTAGTTTTGTTGTCTACCTTCAAAAAGAGAGATTAAACATTTTTTTTGTTGACAATTTCCATCCCAAGAAGTAAACCATTGGCCATATTGTAAATAGCCTTTCGTTACCAACACGACGCATATGACCTCATCCAGCCAATTACTGGAGCTGTTCTGACTACAAACGATTGTGTACAAATTTTGCTGTGATTTCAGATCCCAAAGAAACTTTATTTCTCCAGTTTTAAATCCACTCAGCCTCTTTTTTGGGAGAAAAAAAAGCCCAAGAATGAGTTCAGTGGCCCAACAGCGCGCAAATTTGTTGCGAAACAGAAGCAACAAAGTTGCAGTTTTTACATGGGAAGTTCCACAAGATTTGAAGACGGCAACACATGGTGCGTGCAACTTAAGCTTTAAGATCAAATGCTGATGGTCAAGGTGATAGTGATGGGTAAAGTGATAGATGAGGCTTAGTCACCAAGGGTAGTCCTAAAGAATGTTGGGTTAGAGGGGGTGTGGAGAGAGAGTGTGTGGCAGGTGGTCATGTGTGGGGTCTGCGCTACCGGTTCCCTGCTGAAACCCCGGGTTGTTTGTAGTCGTAGGCCAGCCGGTCCGCGTACCAGCAGTTGGTGACCTTACGTCCTGCAGTGACAATAAAACAATACATTAAATACTAGCATACGAGGTTCGATTGCAACACAAGCAATCATCATCAGGCATAAATGAAATAGAAAGACAAATCTAATATACTTAGAAATGTAATGTAATACAACAGAGAGTCGGATAACATGTTGACTTATACTAGATTTGTGTTTCTATTTCATTTATACCTGATGATGATTGCTTATGTTGCAATCGAAACGTCGTATGCTAGTATTTAATTTATTATTTTATCTTTATACGTGACTTTACCGAAAGAACCAACGCGTAATTCCTGCAGTCACGAAAGCTCCAAATTATGTTTGACAATAAAACAGTTGGCTGTCATACAGCACTCTTCATGCGCAGGCATCCCAAGGGGCGCTTTGCAATAAAAACTCAAAGAGCCATTGGCCGATCGATCCTGCTCAAGGTGTGATTCACCAGAGTCTGCATATTGAGCACAGCGATGGTCAAATCCATGAGGCATCACGTTCGTACCGAGTCAATCTGAGCACCTCCGCGCCATGGCTAAGTGGATCCAGAGCTGCTGGGGACTGCAGATTGTGGTTTAGGCGTCATCAGCACACCTCTAAACTGACGGTACACTCATAATATCAATTATTACATCGTGAGGATGGAAACGCTTCTATTAACCCATAATATCAAATGTCACATTATCACGATACCCACGTACCTCATGTGTGCGCCAAAATAAATATGCCTCCTTCACATATCTGTCTCTCCACGTGATATATGAAAGTATATCTTTTTTTCGTACATTCCATTGGCCATGTGGCCTTTTGGGAGTGCATAATTTCAACAGAGTCGGTTCAACATGAGGAAATCTCTGGGCCAGATTCTCTTAACATTGCGGTTAAACTAAACTATTTTCGACTTTAGCAGGCAAGGCTCACCGAGCTTTCGAACTCGTTTTAAGAAGTGACCTGGTCACAAATGATAGCCCAACGAAGTGGCTTATCACGTGTGGAAATGTATGGCAGGCAAATACTCTAAACACATGTTTCTAAATGTGGAGGTGAAAAACCGGAGGACCCGGAGAAAAATCCACGCGACCATTGGCGTCAGGGTCGGTATCGAACCCACGCGAACGCAACGGTACGTGCGAAGGGCATGGGGCCATCTGCCCCACCGCCGTCCCCCCACCCCGCCGCCTCTTACACCGCACCCTCCCCATCTCCACCTTTGGGCAGTTCGCCCGTGCCGATGTGCCTGGCCCACACGTTCTGGCCGTGCGGCACGGTGGGGTGGGACCGCAGCGCCCGCGAGCGTGCCAGCACGCGGGCCCAGGCGCGCGCGTCCCGGCCCAGGGCCACGCTCCGCCGCAGAGGCCGGGCGCCGTGGATCTCGCGCAGGCGGTTGTGCTCCGCCAGGACGTCCATACAAAACTCCTCCTGGTCCTCCTCTGAGATGCGATGGCAGCGGCGAGGGGTGAGGACGGGAGGAGGGCGGGAGGAATGGAGATGAGATGGAAGAGGTGGAAATTGTTGAGCAGGTGGTAATGATAATGGAGGAATGGAGATGAGATTGGAAGAGGTGGAAATTGTTGAGGAGGTGGTAATGATAATGGAGGAATGGAGATGAGATGGAGGAGGTGGAAATTGTTGAGGAGGTGGTAATGATAATGGAGGAATGGAGATGAAATGGAGGTAATCATGAATAAGAATTCAGCCATTTGTAATTCCACTGCTTGATGAAGGCCTCCCCCATGCCTTTTTTGGCCCAGGAATCAGTTCAAACAACACTCGCCACTGATGTAAGATGTGACCTGGAATAAAACTTAGCTCATGGAGTTCATAGCACAACTTGCCCTATCTCTCTCTGCCACTATGTTTCAGCACCAACACCAACCGCCTTTGTCACCCCAGTGGCGATGTTTACAGACCACAGCAGTTTCTCATTTGAGGCCGTCGATCTAGGGAAGGCCCATGACCGGTTCGATATACGTCACCGGTTGTTGGCCGTGAGCGGGAACCGAATTCGGGTGGCCCGGGTTCGTGGTGCAGTGCTCTCAGCACTCCCCCACCGCTCCCCGCAAGGTCTACAGGTGTCTGTTGACGCACAGACACGCACGTATAGTCACCTGAGATGTGGAGCTGCGCATGCGGCTGGGGAGTGCAGGGTGTGCTCCTCACCATGGGCAGCACGTTCCTCCGGTAGAGTTCCGAGAGCGCAATCTCCCACCAGCGTGGCCTTGATCAGCGCCTCCGTGCCACCACATTGCTCAGCACCACCTCTGCCCTGGGCGTCCTTGCCGTGACCTTTGACCCAGACGCTACGGTGGGTGCACCGGGCGCGGAGCAGTCTGCCCTCCTCCCGGCCCTCGCCAGCGCTTTCGGCGCCTCGTCTCGCCGTGGCGGCACGAATTTCACGCCTCTCCCGCGGCTGCCTCCCAATTTTGTCGGCGAGAGCGCTCCCCGGCGCCTTCACCCTCACTTCTCTGTGTGTCACTTCCGCTGCCCTTGCTGCCCTCCGACAAGTCACCTCTGCCACTGTCACTGCTGCCAATCATCCCTGGAGTCCCGTTTTCCCACGTCGGAGCGTGGTCGTTTGTCTTTTCAGACTCCACTCCGCTGTCGCTGGGCTCCACGCCACCGCCGCCAGCTACGTTCAAGACTTCCTCTACCGCTTGTTCGGATATCTTTCCCAGCCACCATCTCTGCTTCATCTCCACCTCCGGTGTGCTCTTTTGGGCGAGACTCGTCTAGAATTTTCTCCATCACCAGAGTGTCTTCTCTTCCCACTCCTTCACATGAGCCTGCACCTCCATGCCCCCTTTCTACCACCCACGGGAGCTCTTCAATTGCTTCCGCCTCAGATCTTTCCATTATTTCACAAGTTGTTCTGTCTGAATCCATCACCAGAGTTTCTGTGCCCGAGCTCTCCTCTGTGTCCAAGTCTGTGTCGGCAGACTGCATCGACAGCAGCTCCATTGTCCAGGGGGCATCTCCAAGTGACAAGAAGGAAACTGATTTCGGCATGGCTTCCTTTGGTGCCATCTCACTCGAGGCATCGGTCTTGCCACGTGTACCCACGGCACGTGTGCCTGCCGATTCGCCCATCACGGTTGCCGTGCTTTCTGCCACGGAACGTTCTGGATCTTCCATCGCCTCGCTTTCCGGAACCCCTTCGACGAGGGACGACTTCTCCGACTTCCCAACGCCCGAGGCGTCGTCCACGGTAAGCATCACCCCCGCGTCCACCGCCAGTACACAATCGTCATCGTCCGCCGATTCTGCCACCCTCGGGCCGCAGTCTTCGTCCACCGCTTCTGTCCCCGGGACACAACTTCCGTTCGGCGCTGCCACCGGAGAGACGGCGATCATGTCGGCATCGTTGCCGGGAGTCGCGCACCGTTGCCCGAGCGCGGGGGGGTCGTACAGGGCCACGACCACCACGCAGCCCTGGGGGCTGACGGCACGGCCGACCCCGAGTCTCTGCGAGGCCCTCCACACCAGTTGGCAGAAGCGAGCTGCGGCGCAGGGCGTCTCGTTACTTAGCCCGAACGGACACACGATGCCGAGCTTTGTGCTCCCGGCCGAACGCGGCAGAACTCCTCTTACCAGCAGCGATGTGCAGGGGAGATCATTCAGAATTCACTAATGGCAGCAGTTGCCCTGCGCTCTGAAGGTCGACTTAGCATAGACACAAAATGTTTGTTTCATTATAAAAAGAGATGTTTTTATAAACCTTATCCAGGTAACCAACTCTAAGATTCAACACTTTTTTTAAAGATGTTTGGCCAGGTCTCTTTGTGAGTGAGTATGGATGGGCACAATAATTTCCTGCAGGAGATATTCTAAACAATGGGTTCACATTCAAATATCTACAAAGACAAATTGGAAAAATCCCTTGCTATAATGCTGTCTCCTGGCCATTTCAGAATTTAATATTTAAAGTTATTTTTGTCCTTGGAAATATTTACTTTTTTCAAACAGGCGAATACAAAAAGATGTTGCAGTCGATGATTAATATAACTTTAAGTTTTCTCTCATTCCCACCCCAATAAGAAGCACGTGGTGTTTGCTCCCTCCAGTAATTCCGTTATTTGCACTGATACTGTCGCGATGATTATGACGACGATGATATATGTAAGTTAAGTGTGTTGCAAGTTGAAAAAAATCATGATTCCACGTGTGATGATGAAACTACTTAGATGAGCTATGCGTGGCCAGGTCGCCTCTAAAACATATCGAATGGCTCGTGGGCTTTACCTGGCTAATTAGTTGAAGTCGTTTGTTTCGCCAAAGTCCAGTTGGCAGAAAATATTGAATCCTAAAAAATTCTGAGTTGAACTTTTCAAACGAAAAGACAGCAGTGGCCAATCCAGCAAGCGGTGCGATCCACTGCGATGGATGTCAACGCGCTTTGCGATGATCCCCCCCCTCCTCAAAATCTCTGGCCAAATAATTACCTGAAGTTAACCCTGTAATGTCCGAGCAAGATTTGTTTAAACGCTGAAAGCTACGTTATTTACGTGGCTAGATTCCGTTTCTTGTACCAACCACTGTTTTAAGAAAAAAATATCCTGGCCTGCCACAATGTGACTGCATATGAAAAAAGCGTTAAATTGAGATGTTGTTTTTTTTAAACATGGTATCGTATTTGCTATAGATTAATAGAATGACACTACGAGCATCACCTATTGGCAGAAGCTTTTTTTTTAATCTATGAATTCTTAGTCAGGGCTTTGTATTTGCCATAAGCCATGAAGATAATTGTTGTCTGCTGGCTTTAAGTGTTCTTATTTGTCCTCGAGATCCACAAAAATTTATTTGGCGATCGTCCCGCTGTCGCCTCGACAGACCTGGTTTTCACCTGAGGACGGATACTTGCGTTGTGGCCGAAACGTCGTGAGAATTGTTTTATTATGTTTTATTTTTATTATTTTATTACTTCCCTTCTACGTGACTTTACCGAAAGAACCAAGAAAATCATCCACCCGTGGATCACAATCACGATCCACGTGTTGGCCACTGATGCGTGAAGACATCTCAGAATGTCATTGGAGTTTTACCGCATTTAGCATCACCAACCTTGCTCATGAGGAGGTGAAATAAAACAGACATCATCGTGATTGTCCTCATTGTCCCCACTCAACGTGTAACTATTCCGCCTGCCCAGTAATTGCCATGTTTTACTCGCAATTTAACTGGAGAATTGATTCTCCATCATCTCCTTTTAACCATCTCTTTTGTATTGCGTGTTCTTTTCCGTATCGTTTGTACAATTTCCTAAGCTCCATTAGTCTGAGTTTTAGTCTGACTCAGCATATTCTAAACAATCGATTCTTACACAATTCAACGCATGTTCCGGGAGACCGAGTCAATTTGAATGCATGGAGAGATGCGTCATTACGTGCTTGTGGTCAATATAATCGTCTGATGAATATGCGACCTCCATCGCCCAGCCTGTTCTCTCCATCACAGCGTCGAGGAGGTCAAGGCGATGAAGAAGTCCTCATGAGTGGACACAATGCAAGCTCTTACCGGACTCGGGCTGAGGGCTCAGGATGTCGAAGTTGTGTCGTCCAATTTCGCTATACCACGCGTCGGTGACCTCGGACGCTGTCGATTCACAGGGACAGGGGGCACGCGAAGAGTGAGTGAGGTGGGATCAATCGTCAAGGGACGGGGTCCATCCCTCTGGTGCCTGCACGCCCTTACATAGGCGCCAGATACGCTGTTGAGTGGCTTTGTGTGTGGATGACCTTGCGGTGTGTGTGAGCCTTGTGGCTGCTGCTGCTGCTGCTGGTGGTTGTGGGACTTGACAGTGGTGTGGCCCCCCCCCTTGGTGTGCGTGCCTGTGTAAAGGGTGTGCCTGACCCGTGTGCGTAAGAGCGTTGTGATGAACACGCGGTGTGCGAGTGGTCCACTGAGCGTGGTGTGCGTGAACACGGCGGGGATAACCCTCTGGTGTGAGTGTGTGCGAGCGATGTGGCTGACCTGTGGTGCCCGAGTCCGAGAGTGACGTGCTTGGCTCGTAATGTGAGTGTACGAGTGATGTTGATGAGCCGTCGTATCTGTGTGCCAGAGTGGTGTTGCTGGCCTGAAGTCTGAGTGTGTGGTGGAGTGGTGGAGTGGTTGAGTGTGGCGCAGTGGTTTGCGCACTGTGCTTCGACCAACATCAGTGAGGATTATCAGAACACGTCCTAGGCCTCCCCTAGGTCGACTCAGCCTCAAATGATTCCATAGCGCAGTG